GAATTAGCATTTTTGGGTGAACTATCCCTTTAAGCTAAGTTTTTTGTCGACATCTGTTTCAGTGCTGAATCGGTCTTTATGCGTAAAACGATGCATCTGAAGGCTGCAATATAACAAAGAGTGAAAAATTGAAGGGGGTCTGAATACTTTCCGTACCCACTGTATATATGAAAAACATGCATTTGGACACTTTTCAATGCTGCACAAATGCAGCATACATTTCTCATGTTAAAACACGATTATCCATCTTTCTCTTCATCTGTCTGTTTTTCTTGTGGCCTTTGCTCTGTTTTGGAGAGGATCCTTTCTCCAGCTCAGCTTTATCGTGCTGGTGTTGTTCGACTCCATCTATCTCCTAATTGACTTCACAGACTTTCTCAACCGTAGAGTCTTTAATGTCAGAATAATGCTGGTTAATTTACGGTTCCTGAGATCTGCCAGGGAGAGAATCAACGTCTCTAAGGGGTGTAAACTCAATTCAGAGCAGATGTACATGTCAGTGACCTGCGAACTAAGTTTTTCCTTTCCACCCTTGTGAACACAGACCAGGTTCTCCAAAGCAGATTTATGGTACCTTGTCCATCGCTGCTAAGTGTGCAGATTTATATCAGCTGCATTTTGATTATGCAAGAGCTATGATTTTAATCCTTAGCTCTGCATTCTTGGGTGTTTCTTGAACTGTGCACATTTTTGTCCATGTGGACTCTCTGAAAACAGAGTTTCACATTGTCAATAGTTGTCCAAAAGTGTGTATACATGCATCACAGGAGAATTCTGTCAGTTATATTTTTTGATCATTTTCACCACATCTCAAATGATGTGTTTAATTGTGTTCTAAAGTAGAAATGATGGAAATGGATAATTAAAATGCATTTTAAAAATTTTTTTGGAATAAGATGGCTGGATAATTTCTTAGCTAAGATGTTATGTATCCCAATTACAATTAAATAATATTTACACATATTTTGCATCATTTTGCATCATTACAGTTTGGAAATGATGCATAATAATAATATTCTGCTTACTAGTTCTACTACTGTACTACTATTCTACTACTACTACCTTGATTTTTTTATTTATTTCTTTGTATTTCATCACTTACACTACACTGTTTTCTCTTTGTTAAACAAGTACACTAAATTAATTAGGGCCAAACTTGTCAACATGTTGATTTTTGTGCCACATAACTTGTTTTGTGATATTGTTTTTTCCCCCCATTTGTTTCATTGCATAATGCGAAATGCAAGTTGTCGCGTGACAATTTAAAACATTGTAAATTGCCTCTTTGCCTTGTTGAAATGCCTGTGGGAACTTCAAACTGCTGTTTTTTTTTTTTAATTTACATTCTCACTCAGCTTAGTCAATTCATATTGACATGGTTTGTTACCATTTTTATGTATTGAATATTTTTATGATGGATTTTCATGTTTTTAAATTGCTAAATTTTAGCACAAGGATAAACGTTTCCAAGAAAGTTTTAATTTGTCACTTTTACTTTTAAAAAAAAAAAGTGGAAATGTGTTTGTTTTAATAAAAATCAACCTCGAAGATTTAAAAGTGCCTGTAGCACCCTCATACTTTATTGCTTAAATGTCTTCAAAGTGACATATAGAGCTAAATGCCCAGGGTTGGATCCCTCTCAAGAGTGTAATGGTACAAAATGAGCAAGACTTTGAAACAAAAATGAAATGTAGTCAAAATTGCACATTGAGTCACGTCCGGCACAACCATATGGTCTCAGGGCTCATGTAACATGCTGTATTTAAAGTAACAAGACAATGTGTCAGGCATTATTAATCAATTTCCTGCACTGGTATCCTACAAGTTTGAGCTTTAATCCCATGACGCATTCTTCTGAATGTACAATCCCATGGAGATGCATGGCATATGTGTTAAAATTTGTGTGTGGAGTAATAAACGGATGAAGGAAATGAGGCGGGAGGGATGGATTAAGGGACATATGGGAGGTCTCAGCCTTGCGTTATGTCCCAGAAAAGCAACACATCTTCTTAATTGAGGTTTTTTATTCCCACATGATATTAGGAGAAGTCCAAAAAAACATAAGATCTCCATTCTAGATAAGCATTTCAGCAGCTTTTCGTCAGCAAAGTGGCCACAATTTATTTCTTGGTGTTTTTTTGTGAGTGTGTGCGTGTGAGAAAGAGTCTGTTTGTGTGTTAAAAAGGGAAGAAGTAGAGCAGGATTCCACAAGAACTGAATGTGTAAGACAGTGCTTTGCTGTGTGTACGAATATGTCGGTGTGTTAGTGTTTAGTGTCTTGGAGCATTGCTTCATCGTGTTGATTTACAGTTGGGCCTTGTGTGTTATCTGTTTTAAATCACAGCTTGAGCCATGAGCTGGCCAATCTCCAGCCCACCATTCTCAAATTCAGCCCATTATACTGGGTGGAACCTGTTGGAACGGGGAAAGAGATAGAGAAATGAGGGTGCCGATGGGGTGGTGGTATTGTTTTTTCTTAGCTTTTATGTGCTTTTTGTCGTAATTCCCACATTGATGTCATTCTGGCTCACACCTCTCGTTTTATACCACGTTAAGTATGCATTTTTCTCTGGATGCTGATTTGTGTAATGCAAAATGCAAGTTGGCATGTGAGATTTTAAAAATTCAATGTCGGTTGCCTTCTTTGCCAGTCAGCCTTGTTGAAATGGCTGACAGGAACTCCGAACTGCTGGTTTTCATTTACATTCTCTCTCCGTGAATTAAAGGGTTGCGTCAACGGCACACTGCAGCGCTTGGAGGAACTGCCTATTTACATTTCTCACCATTTTCTGGGATAATATTTACCAGTTTTATGGCCTGAACACTAAGTTAAATCAGTTGTTGCTTGTTCTGGGTTGTCAGAAATTGTGGAGAACAGCCGGCTGCTTTTGGAAACTTCATTCAGGACAGCAAACACAAACAGGAAGCAGAATCTGCGCACAGATGAGGATGTTCGCTGCAGCTGCTCTGTTCCTCTCCTCTTCTCTTGTTATCACTCTGTACTGGCTTCTGTGAAGAAGAATTTATCTTTTTGTCCGTGTCTGTCAACTTGAAAGTCATTTATAATGCTGTAATCTACATATAAAAATGACAAAACTTGCTTTTAACAGATGTTTAAAATACACACACTTTGTCTTTTGGGGAAAGTACCCCACTGTTTTATCATCGATCAGGTGAAAATCATGTCAGATCACTTAGAAAAGCAATAGCTCATCTATATTATTTTATTTATTGTTTTTGTTTTTTATTAAAATAGTTTGAACCATTCACAAGCTTGGGGTCAGTACGTTTTTTTATGTTTTTGAAAGATGTCTCTTATGCTCACCAAGTCTGCATTTATTTGATTAAAAATACAGTAAAAACAGCAATATTGTAAAATATTAGTACAATTTTAAGCAGCCATTACTCCTGTCTTCAGTATTACATGACCCTACGGAAATCATTATAATATGCTATGCTGATTTGGTGCATAAGAAACATTTCTTATTATTATAACTCTTAAAGTGCCCCTATTATGCCTTTTCGAATATTACCTTTCATGCAGTGTGTCATGTAGCTGTATGTGAACATAAACTATCTGCAAAGTTGTGAAGCCGACAGTGCACGATAAATAAAGTTATTGTCTATCAAAAAAAAGAGTCGGCTCGCAATCGCCTAAACGAGTCGTCAGGAATTCGAATCTTATTCTATTACGGCTCTACGTCACGAAGTAACACATTTGCATAATGTCCGCCCACATTCTACATCGCCAACTTGCCCGCCCACAAACTAACATTTCCGTGTGGTTAACATCATGTCGAGAAGACGCTGTATCCTACGCTGTGAGAGTAAATTTGTTTTATCACATCTTATAATTACCACAAACTTGTTAACACTTGACACTTACCACTAAGAAACGTCCTGCTCCAGTCGTGCTTGCGAATCAGTCTCTTGTCGATCAGCCAGTTCAACCGTTTCAACATCAGACTCCGGCTCGAATTGGTAAGGTACAATCGATACCATCTTTTCTATGTATTGACAAGTCTCTGCTGTCATTCTGTCGTGGCAATGGGCGTTTCGTTTCCGACACGTGCTTTACGACCAATCCAGAGCCAATCTCTCTACGGCTCTGGACCGATCACAAAGGACTGCGCTATCTGACCAATCACAGCAGTGAGGGCTCACGGAAAGGAGGGGTTTAGAGAGACTGATTCTTTGAACTGCTTTGCACGAGTCGTTTACGAATCATTTAGAAATTAGGTCTATCTATTTTTTGAGAAAACTAACGTGTTTTTTGACCTTGCATGCATATAAGCCTGTTTTAGGAGACTCATAAAACAATATTAGAAACCTTAAAAATGGCATAATAGGGGCACTTTAAAAAATGGTTGTGCTGCATAATATTTTTGTGGAAATCGACATTTTTTCAGGATTTTTTGATGATTAGAAAGTTTAAAAGAACAGTGTTTATTAAAAATATTAGTCTTTACTGTCAATGTAATGTGTCCTTCCTGGGAAAAAAAAGAAAAAGAAAACGCCTGCTAATGCCATGGAGCTCACATCTCCCAAAACGTTGAAGCAAATTTTCAAATAGATTTTATCTTTATTAACAAACCGCATATTTGAAGTCTAACCTAGTACATTCTCGCCTAAAAAAAACTCTTAAAACTACATTCTGTGACACAAAAACACTATTATTTATAAAATGATAGTGGATTTGGGCATCCGCATGACACTCGCACTCCTCTCAGCCAATCAGATTCGAGGACTAGAAAGAACTGTTGTATAAATATATATATAGTTTTTATTAATACTTTTTTCGGCAAGGACACAATAAATTGTATTAATAAATAGATATTTAACATAAATGTAATAATTTATTAATTTATCCATTTTAGTTCATTTTTGATTGATTTATTTATTTTATCATTTATTTCATGATATTTTCAATAGTAAGAATAGAAATGTGCCCACAGCTGAGCAATGACCATGTGTCTTTTTCCATCCCTATATAGCACAAAAAGGAATTCTTCACCTCTCCCCGGATGTGTATCAAGAAATGGAAGCGAGCCGGAATAAGGGAGTCCCCGGTGCCCCTGGAAACTACCTGACACCCAAAGACATTGGCCAAGGATCCACAGGGCCATTCTACACCCTGTCGGTGGGCAACACTGCAACCATCGCAAGAGAGCTGCTGCTGAGCGGGACTTCGCCCACCGCTGAGGCCCTGATCCTGAAGGGAAAAGCACCTGCTTTGGCCTGTGGCTCCATCCAACCTTCCCAGCAGCTGGAGTACTTAGCCCACATTCAAGGCTTCCAGGTATGGAATAAATGAAGGGATTTTACAGATCTGTTTATCTCTCGCGCTCGCTCTCCACTGCTAGCTCTACCCAGAGAACCAGACCTCAAATTTCATAACATCTCTCGCGGAGCCTAAAATTGATCTTCTTGGCTTGCACTGTTCGTCCATCTGGACGAGACCACGGAAATGTGGAAGTGCCTGCTTCTGTCATTGATGTTCCTACAGGCCAAGGAAGTAATTTCTCACAGTTACATTTCCATTTTTCCTGTCTGTATACCATTGCAGACAAAGGATAACAACCTGTCTTTAGCTGATTTGTCTTCCACGGCTCTGTTTTTCCTAGGGCTGCATTATAATTATTATAATTGTTATATTATAATAATTATTATAATTAACTGCAAATTATAATTTGTTTGTTTATTTTTGTTGGTGGAGCAGCTGCACTTTACATGTAGGCTACCAAGCAATAAGAATGGCCTGCCATCCCATTGTGAGAATGTTTTGCGCCAGTTTACTGGATCAGCACTATATTATTTTTTTGATCATGCACATGCATTTTTATGCCTTGCAAAAAAATAAATACACTACACTTCAAAAGTTTAAGTTTAAGCTTTTGAAGTCTCTTAGTTTGACCAAAGCTGCATTTATTTAATTAAAAATACAAAAAAAGTAATATTGTAAAATATTATTTTTACATTTAAAATAACATTTTTTTTTGTATTTCATTCTGATATGCTGATTTGGTGCTCAAGAAACATTTCTTATAATTAATGTTGAAAACAGTTGTGCTGCTTAATATTATTGTGGAAACTGTGATACTTTTTTCAGGATTCTTTGAAATAGAAACCTTTTGAAACATTATAAAAGTACTTACTTTCGATTTTGATCAATTTTTGCATCATTGGTAAATAAAAGTATTAATTTCTCCCCAAAAAATGAAAAATTGGACTGACCCCAAACTTTTAAACAGTAGTGTATTTATGTGTTATACAAAATATAGGCTAGCAATAAAACTGTGTGTGTATGTATGGTATTTAGTATGCGGCAGTAATGGAATTTATACACTAAATTTATACAATTTAATGTGACTTTTTTATTAAATTGCTGCTAAAACGTTGTAAATGGAAACAGGAGTCAAACAAAATGGAATGCTGTAATTGGCACTTTTATTATTCATAATCTCAGTTATTATTAATATTAATCATTTCTGATTAGTTGTACCTTCCCTGATCCCCAATGTGTGTGTCCTCAATCTCTACTACAGTTTAAAGAAAACCAAGCCAGTGACTGAAAAACACACTCCAGTACCTCACCCTGAGCCGGCCCACTTAATTTAGCAGCAGGTGCTTTTCATATTGGACAGTAAAAACATTTTATCTTAACCTGCTGAGGTTGCCTTTGAAAAGGCCTTTATTTTTGCTCAGAGCTTTCCTGTAGTCTGAAACCCGATGAGGAAGAGTGAGGCAGCCAAAGGTAAACACGGGGGGAAAACAGCAGGTTTCACTTAAAGGGCCAGCTGTGAGGGATGAGCCGACCTGCCTGTGTGAATCACTCCACATTCAAACCCTTTTCCCCCTCGAATACCCTGATAAGAATCCCGCCTGGCTTGATCCCCCCCATTCCTTGGTGTCTTCTATCAGGAGGATTTGAGTGTATAATGGAGGAAGGCAGGAAATACGCGTTTCATTGAGACGATGCACCGAACAATGTGGGCTGGTAATGAAAACCTGAATGTACCAAAAGCAAAACAAAACCACTGAGCTGCTGCTTTAGCACTTAATTCCAGACTTTCATGTTTGTTGGCAGATGCTCTTGTGCAAAATAGTGTGCACTTATTGGCAAAGACCTCTCTGTTTCTAATCAGAGCAGCAGACATGCTATCCACAGTGCCAAAGGACATGTTTAAATCAGCCCAGGTTTGTGATTCAATTTGGACCTGATGGAGCTGTTATGAAAGCCCCTATGAGGCCCTTTTCGTTGGCATTGGAGCAACAGAAACACCTGAAATGGTTTGGGAAAGCCACAACAAGAACCGATGTTCAATCAGTTTCCTAAAGCAGTTGTTCTACACTGCAGATGTGGTATTCATTGTCGTGTGGTTATTCATGCGTCTGTTTCCTCTAAATCCTGATTCTGATCTCGAAACCCTTTATGGAGAAGTTAATAGATGCCTTGTAAAAATAAAGACCTAGCACGGGCTGTATTTGGCATTGACTTTCAGTTGAGATTGGTTCATTCAGGTCTTTCGCTCTTGTTGGACCCCAACTAGACACATGGGGCCTTTTGATTGATGATTTGATTGATGGAATTTGGCCAGAGGTTGAAAATTAGATAGGGCATCAGTATATTGGCATTTTGGAAGCAGTGCTGGTGCAGAGAGGGTTGGAGAAAATAGTTTGTTTGCTGTTAATTTCCCTGTTGTCTCAGGCCACATGTGATGGAAGTAGGGCAGAAATAATGGAGTCGTTGGAGTAATGCATAACATATGCTCTCTCTTTCTCGTTCTCTTTATCTTTGTGGTACGAGTGAAATGCTGTTATTTTCTGTAGTTGAGCTTCACATTTTTGTGCCCACACTTACCTTTTAAGTGGGCTCTTAGGTAGTCCGTTGTCTTCAGTCATGCAGAGATGTTCATGATCATTAGAAAAATAGTCCTAAATACCATCAGATTAGGTTTCTTTGGCCTGTAACGATAGCTGAATCCCATTTTGTGCTACATATAAATTAGTCTCACATTGCCAGACATTGATTTTTAGCATAAAGTGTCTTCCTGCTTATTCTGTACAAATTTTTATTGGGATAATTTGTGGTCCAGCTTATTCCAGCCAAGAATCACTCATTTAGACAGGAAAAGGCCATTTAACATTTAAAGCACTCATTATGTTTAACCCAGTAAAAATCTTTGTACTCTGACTCCCAGATGTTGCATAAAACCTGCTAAGCATGGCTTGTTTGAGAAACAGACCTAAATTTAAGTCGTTATTCGCTCATAATCTTCCCCTTCAGTTAGCTGTTAGTGGTTGTGGCCACATTGAGTAACTGACTTGAACTCGAGATCAAGATGAATATAATGTGAGAACAAATCATTCCACTTTATTGAACTGGATCAGTTGATTCATTGAAAAATCCAACTTAAAAGAACAATTAATTCATTTGAGGGATATAAGCATTTTTCCTTAACTACAAACCAACGTTTGGTCCCAAACTATCTAGCCACTACTGAATGAGAACTTAATTTAGGCAACAATTGAAACCCTGTTACCCATTTTGGCATATATTATTTATTTATTCATTTTTGTCTATTAAAAAATACTTTTAGAAAAAAGTACTTAAGTACTTTTTTTGTATTTTTTTCTAAAGCTTATTTTATTTTATTTGAAAATAAATCACAAAAATAAGAATTTAAACGTTTATTTTGACATGTCCCAGTAACAAAAGAAAGTTAAGCACCTCTTTACACTTGTCGAAAACAAACGAAACGAATGAAAAGATCCGATGCTTTAAGCTTGAAAGCATGAGACACCTTTCATTGCATGGTAATTGCATGGAAAAAAACAGCCAACATGTTCCATATAAGAAAGAAAGCCATATGGGTTTAATGATGAGAGATGACAGAATTTTTGGGTGAACTAATGCTTTTTCTAAAGTGCACAGCCGAAGCCGCATTAAAACACAGATCAATAGTTTTCCTGTTGACTGATCTGACATCTAACAGATTATTTAGTAACCTTCAGTGGTCTAGTTAAACTCTTGAGCCTCTCTTGGTCAGCTGGGTGACTTGTTTGGCGCAAGTAGCATCAGCTTTAGACGAACCCAGAGATGGATCTTTCCCCAAATCCCCCTTTGGTCAAGCAACCGGAGCCCTGCCAGCTAACGTTCACGCCCCAGGCTGGGGACACAGAGATTCGGAGAGGACGAAAGGGAGAGAAGAGGTGGAGCAGTGAAGCCAATCTCTGTGGGAACGTTGCTCTTCGCCGTATGTCAGGTGCACATCATAAAGGGCCTTTTGTGCTGAGTCTGTGAGCTGCAAAGCAGTCTGGGAGAGCAGAGAGCAGTAGGTAGAGCTCATGTTAGGGATGAGTCCTGAGCATTTTATGAACCGCATTCATCCTATCACTTCATATGAGACTGAGTGAAACATACTGTACCATAGTCTTCCACCCTGCTTGTATACTTCAGAGCTTATGACCTTCTCAATGTAAATAATATAAATGATGTTTTCAACTTTTACTGTTGCTGTGTTGACTTCATTACCAAAGTTACTGTAGGAAAAAAATGTCCAAACTATATATATATATATATTAAAAAAAAACAAAAAAAAACATATATATTTTATGTAATCTTGGAATTGCTCAGTTTATTATCACTTTAAATGAAGTTTTTCAGTGACTACAAACAAACTTTTGTTCCCAAACTAACTGACTGAAATTGTTGTTTTGTTTTGTTTTGGACTCCCTGTATGTTTTTTTTTTTTTGGCCTATTAATTTTTTTTAGCATTTAAAATAGAAAGTAAGAATGTAAAAATAGGAAGCAACTAAACAGTTTTTAAAGTATTTTTAGGAAATAAAATACATAAGGATATCAGTATTTATTTGATGTTTCACTTTTTTGTATACTTTTTAGTAACTACATTTGTTTAAATATAGTAACCTTAGTAACTTAATTTAGGTCACATTTCCCATTCTGGCATAGACGTTTGTTTTGATTTGATTTGTTTTGTTGTAATTGTTTTGCATCTCTTTTTATTGATGCTGTTCAATCCAAGAGATACAAAAATGAAAAAGACGTTTTTGTAATTTAAGTAATTAAAAATTTTTTTGAAAAGAAATCACACAAATCTGGATTTCAGTGTTTTTGACATTTCCCACTTTTAGTAATAAGATTGCTTTAATTGTTAATTTTTTTAAACATTTTTATGAGGTATGTAAAAATGAATAGAAAATAACACTTGTATAATTTTTAGCTGCCAATCAAGATTTTCTGAATGTTTTGTTTTTGAGTTTCAGACCATATTCTC